CAGATGGAGACCTACCTACTTGTTGTGCGTTTAGGCTTGGGAACAACAGGAATCATCTGCCAGCAATGCTGCTTCCAAGTGCTGCTGGCTGCTGAACTGGAACAGAGGAGGGGCCCTGAACTGGTAAGTGTTCTTAGGAAAGCTCGGGATTCAACCAACTGATGTCATTTTCTGTACAAGTCTGTTCTCTGCTGGCCTGAGACATGCAGGCAGTGTCTGTGCTCTGTTCCTGTTGCAGATCAGGCAGTGGGAAAGATGCAGCTGCTTATGATGGGTGTCACTGAACGGTCTCTCGGCACCTGCCTTGCCATGCCTGCTCGATGAACTGATTTCTGGAGGAGAAAGGGGGTTCACACCAACTGTGTAGCCTTCAGCTGCGGGCTGGGCTTTCCCCTTAGCCATATGTTGGCCTTCTGCATTATGCTTTATGCTTCTGCATCATGCCTCATGGAGGAGAGCGGATGTGTGTCTCGTTGCTCATAAATAGCATTGCCAATGTCACCTGCCTGGACTGGATGTCCTCTCCAGTGACTTGAGCCACTTCCTCCTGATGATAGATGTGTGATGTAACAGGGCTGATTCTGTTCTGTCTCCTGTTAATGTAACTGTAAATACCTCACGTGTCTGCTGAAAGCTGAAGATATGACTGAGTTTAAAATGAACAGATTTCCAGACCGCCAGTGAAGTTCCTTAATGCACCGAGCCCTGTACTACTGAGACTCAGTTACAGGCACTTAGATACTCAGCAGTGTTGCAGCTTTAATGTGAACTCAGTGGTTTGAAGGCCAGGGTTAGCTTGAGTGTCCTGAAAACCAGTGTGGGACCTGAGGGAACCTGAGCCCTGCGGCTGACACTCCACTTGGAGTGTTTTCATCCTCAGTCATCCCAGTAACAACAGTGTAGTGTTTCTTCTGCGATGCTGTAATGAGATCTAAGCAGTCCCATTGGATAATGGATGAGGGTAGAAAAGATCAGTCCAAAAGCTGAGCTAATGCGGCTCTCCTGCAATTACCGTGGCCTCTTTGCAGTGATGGAACAACAAAGTCCTTGGTAATCACTGCAATAAGGTGAGAAAAGGTCTTGCTCTCTAATTGAGGCTGTCAAACCTGCGCCTTGACTTTGTAACTTGAAAAGATGCTTGCAGCTTGCATTCTCCAGAGCCTTTTGAACCACATACTCTCAAGCTTAATTTCTGTTGAAAGCAGGCTCTTCCTTGAAAAAGATCTTCTTTCACTTAATGTGCTGCTAAATCATCTCAAAGGCGTTTCATCTAGTTGCTAAGCCTCTTCATGCTCAGTCCAGTTCATCACTATGATGGGGGAAAACCACGCTGTCACCCATAATTGTCACTGGTGTAAAGAGACAGTGATGTCTGCTTTCACCCCTGCTGTTCCTCCAGCCAGACCTGGCTTCCAAGCTTTGTCAGGTCTCAAGTGAACTATGTGTATGCAAAACATCCTGGGGACTTGAACAGAGGAGTGAGAACAGGGTCTGATATGAGCTCTGTGAGAGGAAAAGGCAGAATCTTATCTCGGAGCTGTTAAAGAATGAACCGAGGTCAAGACCTAAGGCAGACATCTCACAGCAAAGGTGAGCAGTGGGGCTCGGTTTGCAATTTAATCAAGCTCTTGGACTTCTTCTGTCTTATTGAAAGCTCTGGAATATTGATTATGGTCACTAAATTCTGGGTACATGGGCACACTTGGAGGAAGAGGTGGAGTGAGAAGGCATGGGAGCTGGGAGCTGATTCTCTGCTGATCCAGCCTCCTCATAGTGCCTGTGGGCAACCTGGTTGGCTGCGTGGCAAGGAACTCAGCTGCAGTACCCTGGCAGGTGACCAGGCCCTGCCTGGGGCTGTCAAATCCATCTGGATCTCTCCATACGCTGCTGGAACAGATGTGCTTTCAGGGGGCCTGTTGAGTCAAGCCATTAAGCTTTTGTCAAACCAAGCTTAAGACAAACCATTCAGCTAACCAGACAGGGTCAGTGTATCCTGCAGTGCTGGAAATGCAAAGAGTAAGGAAACGTGTAAAATGAGGCTTCTCTTGTTTGTTTTAGTTTTAACATGTCAAGACTCCTAAAGCAAAGTCACAGGATTTAAATAAAGTCCCAAACAGAGATGTGTAAACACTTTTCAGTGCCGTTACACGACATCCTGCCTGTGGTGGTGGTGGTGGTCTATGTGATAGGCATGGTGTATATTCCTGTGCCACCTGCTATATAACAGCCAAGGGGAAATGCTTGGTGAAGCACTGCTGTCATTAAGCGCCTCTCAAAATTCAATGTTAGGGCAGTTCTGGAGTAGGTGAGTTCTCAAGCTGTTACTCACCCCACAAAGGGAAAACCCATGTACCACTTCAAAACGTGTGCATTGTCCAGGCTCGGGTAGCAGAACCTTTCCCAAAGGAACCAGGCAACTGGTTCTTCAGAAGTGGTTTGGGAATGGGGATGCTCGTGAAGCCCTGTTTATCTGTGTGGGGCAAATAAGTCTTGGTCTAGTCACCAGAAACTGCTTTGCTTCAGCCAAAGACCCATTTCTCTGCTGTGAAGTGCACTATGATATTGTAACTGATTCAGCATCTAGGCATGTGGCTGTTGTGGTATTGAAAGTGTGGGGAGCCGACACAATAAAACAGGATTTTTGCTGTTCTCTGAGACATCAAAGGTGTATAACTGCTGCAGTGGTCAGTGCACTGAGCAGTCTCCTGTGTGAGCCTGAGACTGCACTGAAGTCAAAAACTGTGAAGCTGAGCCTGTGATGGAGGCTGAAGAGGAGACTCCAGCGGTCTGGGCTGCTGCAGGGGGGCTCAGAGAGATGTGAAAATGAGTGCCAGGAGCCTTGGCAATGCCCCCTGCCTGAGGAAGCTGTGCTGAGACTAAAGACAGCACTCAGGAGTAGTCCAGTGTGATGAGCGAGAGCCTTGAACCTTCATCTTGATGGAGGAACATAAAATGTGATAGACTCATTGAAAACAGCACATCCCATGTGCAGCAGAAATAAGTGGTGACAATACATGTCTATGTGTAAAGTGCCAAAGGATTTCTGCAGTCAAGAAGGAAACAGAGTTGGTTATAATAAATCTGTAACCATGCCCACCTTGCTTCTCCTGTAGGAACAGCAGTGTTTGCATGTGCAACTGCAGGACATGGTTATTTCCAAGTTACTAAAGGTGTAACTGTACATAAACCCACTGGTATATGTTCTGTGGATGCTTCTGTTCACAAACTGAATCTGCCCTCAGTTCCAGGTGGTTTTAACTTCAGTGCTTTAGCCTTTACTGAGATGAGGATTCATTTTCCTTTGACAAGCATTTTTTAGCTCTCCACGTGTGCCATGTCCCCATCTCCTCTGAATAAACCCAAGCTCTTTGAAGGCAAGGAAGTCTCATTGTGCATCAATGACCAAAGGACAGGGAGTTTTCCAATCCTGCAACAGAAAAGCTTTCTCATACTCTTGTTCTATTTCTACAGCATCACTGTTCAATGTTAAGCACAGCTGACATTAAACCAGTACTTTGTGAAAGCTTTTTGCTTCCATTTCCTATTTAGTTCAAGATGCAAACTGGTATCCCCATCAAACATGCAGCCTGTATCATAGCTGGTGAATGTGATGTGGGACAAGGGCCAAGCTATTGGTGGTTTTATGTGCAAGGAGGTTGATGGTACCCCAGTAAAATAGCCAGAAGCTGCCTCATTTACTTCCCACTGGAAAAGCTCATTTACCCATCCCCTATGAACCAAGATCGAGGGCGAACCATACTTTAAAGGCCACCTTTTATGTCTATTTTAGCAACTGGTTAGTGTCAGTGGGATATATCTGGTTTTAGGATTAAGGTCTCACGTGCTGAGTACACTTACACCATCACTGTGCACATCACCAGTGCTGTCCTGCGCTGGCTTTGGCCTGGCCAAACCTGCTTCTTCGGAAATGTCTGTGTCTTTGCCCTGCGGAGGGAGCAAAAAGGCATTATGAGAAGAGGCAGAATGCCTGCTCACCCAGAAGTCTCTGAGCACAGTCTGAGAGCTGTGCTCAGCCAAACTTGTAACAGACAAAGGCTGTCCTGAGAGACAAGGGGGGAAGAACCGAGCCAGAGCTTTGCGGAGCCCAGTCAGGGTCATCTCAGGGTAGTTAAGTTCTTCCCTGAGCAAAGAACTATGAAAACGCATAAAAGTATGTGAGGAACAGTTCTATATGTGAGGAGGAGCTCTAGAAAAGCCTCAAGGGTGCCCTCTCCTCGCTTACTAAGGGTGTGTAATTCAGGCAGCGTCTCTGAGGACATGACTAACGCTGAAGACACAGATTTGGTCTTTATTTCTTAGCAGGCAGTAGATGTTAGAGCAGGGGAAGCATTCCACATGGACTCAAAGTGCAGCCACAGCCCTGATTTCAAGCCTTCTGATCACTGGGGTGGAGAGAAGCCCTCAGACACTGTCCATTTGCCTGTAGTCACAACAAGGGGAAGCACAACACGCAGGGACCCACCTGGGAAATACAAACATGCAGAAGGAAAATGTGCATCAGGCGCTGGGGCTCGAGTACAGCAGGGCTCTGTTGGGGAAGTCAGCCCTTCTGTCTCACACATCACCCTCGTACCAGTGTTTCAGAGCCTCCTAACGCTGTGGGATCAGTCCAGAGGCGTTTAATAGGATGCCCAACTGTGGCAAAGCCAGCAACACTTTGGAAGTGACTCCCTTTGAGGGTGGCAGATGGTGCCAAGGCAAATACCAAGGTGCCTGACCCAGCCTGTGCCCTGAAAACCATTCTCTGGCCTATTACACTGCTTTACAACAGCAAGCTGCTACACTATATTGCAGTGACTACTCATTTGCAATAAACAGAGTCTGTGTTTTACTTTTACTTTACCCTCTGGTGAAAAACAACACAAAATGGCCAATAAAAGCCCTTCAGCTGGAAAATAAAGGATGTAACTGAAACAGAAGGGAATGAGAATGGGAGGGAACTAAAGATTCAGGGAATTGATGCTCAAAGAATTGGGGGAAGGGATTTTGTGTGACCCCCCCCCAGTGCTATTTAAGTTGAGCTTGAGGTCTAGAAGGCACTTGGGATGTTTTCTCTTGTGTTCTGTTTGTGCTTTTCTGCTCTAGGCTGGTAAGTAGCTATGTGAACATAAGGTCTTTTGTTTGTTGGTTTCAATAAGTTAATGATGCTGCCAGAACAAATGTGTTGGGAAGATGGGTAAATTTGAAGAGGCTGGGATCATCCTGTGGTTTTTAGCTCAATTTGGCTCCTGAAGTGGTAGTATTTGTGGTAGTATCCAAATGCTGGCAGCGTTATTCAAAACTGAGGCTTCTTCTAATGAAAGTACACTCATGGGTTTAACTTTCCATTGAGCATTCTGGTGTGGGCTTATGTGTTGAGAAGGTTCCATGGTCTGACACTGACTTTTTCTGTACCAGCCCTGGAAAGTAAAACAAGCTCATGTGGTTTCAACTAGAAGGAACTACTTTTCTCTGTGCAGAATAAGCCTGGGCAGTGGAAGTCTCTTAATTCTACTTAACAAAGGGTGTTTGCTTGGTTGGGTTTGCTGTCATTTAGTAGGGATTCCCACGGGAAGTTACAATGCCATTTCCCCTTCAAGTTGAAGGAGTTGCTCTTGTCAATAGGCTGCACCTGAGCTATGTTACTTGGCAGGATTAACACCAGCTACTCCTTGGTGTTGATTTCCACCTTGCCAGTTAGTAACCATGCCTGAGTGACTGATAGTCCCTGATGGAGGGCAGAGTTCAAAGCTTTGAACTGCCTTAGCTCTGCAAATGCAGAGAAGCAGACAAGTGACAATTAAGAATGTACAGTGGTGCTGTTGTTACTTCTACCTTACTGATGCTCCCTGGTGTGTGATACTCAGCTGCTTCTGTAGAGGGTGGCCTGTCCTGCAAGCCCACAGTGTTGCTTGCAGACAGACAGCTGTGATACCCAGTTGTTCTCTCTTGCAGGTTGAGCCGAGTGCCAACATGGGGAGCAGCTTCAGCAGGCAGATGTTCTGCGTGCCTTGTGGGAGATGTCTGAAACAGGAGGAAGCAAACGAAGAGATCAGTGAGACCAAGCCAATTCTGCAGGCCTCAGGGGGACCGTCGCTGTGTGTTGGTACACCACCTCCCGCACCAGCCCTGCAAGTGTCTAAGCAAGGCTCTGAGGAGGTGCAGTCACTGAGCCAGGATGCACAGCCATCAGCTGATGCTGTGGAGGAAAACACGGAGCCCTCCTCTGCTGCGGATGCCATGGGAATGACTGAGGGGTGGGAGGCAGCCTGGGGCTCCACAGGCTTCTTGGTAGCCCTTGAAGATGGGGAGAGCAAAGGAGAAGCTGAAGTCTTAACCCAAGCAGGCAACCAGAAAGAGGGAGAGCAAGTGGGGAACAGGGAAGAGAAAATGAAACCTGTTCCTGGTGCTTCTGAGCTCCAGGTTGTTGCACCCACCACTCGGGATGCTGAGCTGGTTGGAGCCAGAGAGCAGCCTGATGAGCAGGCAGGGGCTGGCAGTAAGGTTAGCCCAAGTGCTCTCCCAGGAAATAGTCTCCCCTTTGTCCTCAGCTTCAAAGAAATCCTAAGTGAGACGGCAACTGGCCAAGACTGTGAGCCCAAACCTCCTGCAGGGACTGCAGAGAGCCTCATAGAAAGAAACTTGCCACCATGTGCTGTGCGGATGGCGGAGGAGACTGACACCGACCTTTCTGCTGAGCATGTGGAGGAGCCAGAAAGGACTAAGCTTGCTGAAGTAAGTCCTCAGACAGCTGAGAGAGCTGAGCTTCCACCTCTGGTAGAGGTAGAGACAGCATCTCCCCTGCCTATGCAGGCGGCCAGGGAGACTGTGGATGCTTTGGCAATCCCAGCTGAGATGAACTCTGCTTCTGCAATGCCTTGGGAGTCCCTGTGTCCAGAGGGGGCATCTCTTGAGCCAGCAAACCAGCTGCTTGACTTCCTAGAGCAAGAGACCCAGTCTACTATGGGAACTGCAGAGGGGATGGAGAGCTTGTGCTGTGCACAGCCTGTGGAACAGAGCGGGGTTTCGTGCTTCCATGAACTGGAAGATGAGCACAGGGGATGTGATACAGAAACTGCAGCAAGTGAGGCAAAGCCACAGCAACAAGCAGAGCTTCCAGCAGAGCCAGTAACTTGTGTTCAGATACCTGTAAAGCAAGATGCTGGCTTCCTAAATGTGACCCCCTCACTGTCTGAGGAGCCTGGGAGTAGTGGAGAAAGAGAAGCTGAGAATGTTGAAGCCTGAGAGACCTGAAGATGGAATGGCCTGCTGTCAAACATGTGTTCAGTGGCGAGCGTGATGCACTTGCCTTGAGGAATTTCAGCCATAGGAAGCAACTCAAACTGTTGAATTGGGATTTTGTAAGATGTTTTTGACTTCTGAGAGCAGTCTTGCTAAACAGATAGGTGATAGTAGTAGATGTTTCGTATCTTCTCCTGAATTCCAGCTGAGATGCAGTTCCAGTTCTTCCTCTTTCCAGCAGCTGTTTTTCAGGAGATCATGCCCTACTGGGAGAGAAGAGATTCACTTCAGCTGTGAGTTCACAGTGGTGATGTTGGGCACTGCATTCCCCCAGTGAGGCATGATGTTCCATCTCTTAAGAGTCTGGGAATGGAGAAGACAAATGCTCCTTTAATCCAGCCCAGTCAGATGTTTTCTGTGAGGTCAAGAGTTTCTTCCTTTGCTGCCTGGAAATAACCACATGTTTGAGCTACCTCCCTGCATACCCCTCGTGTGCAGCTCATAGTCCCTGGTTTGTTGTCAGTATTAAACAAGGTGATGAAATGATGGTTTGCTCTTGTCACGGTGGTAGCATTAATGGAATCTGTACCCCTTCTGCAGAAGTGAGAAATGCAGTCTTGGTCAGAATGCAGAAGTCACGGTATTGCAGCTTAAATCTACTGACTTTTAATGTTTCTACCTTTGTACTACCAATAAAATATTTTAAGATCATGGCAAAACCCTATCCTGAATGTTTTTTATTGTTGGGTGTTAAAGGCAAAAGAATATGGCTGGAACCACTCTGTGCTCTTCTCTAAGCACTTCAAAGGAGGAACTGTGACTGTTCCTCCTTAAAACCCCTTTGAACGACTGACTGCATGGAGTGCGGTGCCCAGGTGCTCATGTGGGGGGGGCATAGGGATGGCACACTGGAGTTCTGTCAGGCTTACAGTGTGCTTGAGGAACAGGACTTGAAAGGATGCTGGGGGAGGAAAAACAATACAGGACAAAGCATAATGCTGGTGAATGATTTGCTGGCACAAGGCTGAAAGCTGAGGAGGTAGGAGCCGCATGATGCTGGGGATGAAAGTGCTTTGGTGAAGGGATGAAGTGTTTCAATACCTTGACTTTGTTCTTCCAACTGCATTTAGGCTGACTAAGTCTGCTGTATGTAAGGCTTGCCAAACAAATCTTCACTTATGAGTCCACAAGCTGCAAGGAAAGAGGTGCCTGTAATACATTTCTGTTCCTTAAAAGGCATCTCTAAGCGAGTGAACTGTTGCTTAGGTGGGCTATCTCTGCTGTGATACCAAACAATGGGATGCTGGGGCCTGAAAGGAGAGAAGCTATTAAATAAACATCCTTGTGCAAAGCTGACTCAAAACTTATCTTTCTAAACTTGTTTGTCTCCATCCTGTTCTGCCAGAAGTCACAGTTCTCCCTGTTAATACCTGTAGCCAAGGGCTGCCCAAGCAGGGAACTGGATGAGCTAACTGCTGGTCTTTGTCCCAGCCTACCCCAGGAACAAAACATCACTTCAGGCAGATAGGAGGACCTAAAAGCCATCAGACTTCATCACATTTATGCCTGCCTATGGGCTGGTGAGTTAATTCTGTTAAGCAGGGTTATAAAAAGCAGCTGTGCTACAGAAGATGTTTCTTAACCATTGGAAGTCTGGGGCATGTGGTTCCTTAGTGTGGAAACAAGGGGAAGGCAGAAACTCTCCAGTGAAGTTCATGTGATGCATCATCTGGAAGGGTTAAGTGTTGGTGTCTCTACTGTGCTGTAGAGCTCAGTGCTGCAAAGCCCTTCTCACTCTTTGAAGAGGACATTCCTGTCACTCTTGGTAATGTCAGCTGTGTGATGGATGAGAGGAGCCCCATGGCAGCTCATCCACTGCATCTAGCTGCCATGTGCACTGGCAGGAAGAGACAGGTCTAGTAAGAGGGAGCAGCTTGAACTCTGTGCAATAAAAACCCCAAACCACAAAGACTGATGTCCTGAGCTGACTGCAGCATGCTCCTCATCACCAGTGATGCCACCTAAAAGGCTTTGTAACAGTCCTGTGGCCCAGCGTTCAATCACACGACACAATCCTGAGTTGACATCTGAGCAAAGCTCTTTGTAAGGGCTGTGGTTTTGTCATTTGTCACAAAATGAATTGTATGGCTTTCTGAGAACAGCCCTTTAAAATATGTCAGAGTAGGAGAGATGGGAAATAGCCGGTCAGCAGAGCAGATGTGATTGCTGTGACAGTAGGGTTTCCCCTCCCCTGCTTGTGTGTGTCACATTGATATCTTCTGCGTTGTCTCCCATGCAAGAGATTTTCTGTATTGGTCCAAGCAGCTGTAAGCTGGACTCTGCTATTAGAATGTCCTCATTTTCCACAATGATGCAAGGGCAAGAAATGTTATGCTTTGAATCTCAGATATTTCAACCTGAGTGATGTAAAGAATAACATCAACCCATGCAGAGGCTGCATGAGAGCTGCAAATGTGTCATTTCCTTCCAGTTACGCTGTTGTACAAGGCACCAATGTCCCTAAAGGCACCAGAGTTTTTCAGCCACTGATGTGTGACAGTCTGTACGTGCTGTCATCTGTGCATCTCACACGTCAAAAACAAGGATGAACTCCAGAGAGGTTTCCAATAGTCAAAACCAAGGATGAACTGCTGGTATATTGCATCAGCCCAATAGGAAGCATACAAAAAAGGCTTTGGAAAAGCTGTCATAAAAGCCCCCAGCCATAAAGTCAGTGTAAATGTGTGAGTGGGATAGTGCAGAGAAGGTGCTGGACCATGTTAAAAGGCAAGATATGGATGTTGTTCAAGTCCCACAACTGGCTGCACACATGGAATTACCCCACCCAAAGCTCCTTTGTGTTTTCTGCATCCAGGGAATCATAGCAGCTGGGCAAAGTATAGGAACCTGAACCAGATTTGGCATCAAAGAATGTAGGTTCAAGGGGCTTTGATGGCATCCAACCAGTGTGATCTTTCTGGGTTTTGTTCGGCTCCATCGCTGCTGGCAGTGGGTGTTCAGGATCTGCCTTCTGCTCATGGCTCTGGGATTAGTTTGGCTTTAATGGATATTTGCTTTTGTGTTTTGCCCAGGTGACCTATTTCATGTTACAACTGGCTGCCAGGCAGTGAACACAAGCAGGGCAATACAGCAACTGTATGGCTGTTAATGGCAAGCGAGAGGGATCCCCTGGGGCTGCAGACATTAAGATAATCTGCTGTAAAACAGCCACTTGCATGACTCAACCAGTTGAAGACAGCACAAAGGTGGAAAGTGGGATAATTCCCCCCCCCCCCCCGAACTGTTCAATATGAAGTCATGCAGGAGGATACAATGGTTTGTAAACCCAGGGACTGCTCACACCCAGCCTGAAGTACTGCTGCTGTTCTGCCTCATCACAGGCTATAAACAGGGGTCACTTTACTTGTCCGTGGCTGCACTGTATTAATCATTAGCTTTATTTTAAGTAGTCAATGCTTATTACCAAGTGGCCACAGCGAAGCTAATCATGTACCAACTGCACTCAGCAAGTACAGCCATATGCTGCTTCTGATGGCTATGAAATGGCTGGGAAAACGGGAAGACAGTGTGAGGGAGCTTCACAGCCTGGAACTAACAATGGGAGTCAGGGGAGGAGATTGAGCGTGACCACCTCCTCCTATTTAACCCAGCTGGGGCTTTGCCTTGTAGGTGTTGGGTGGTCAGTGGGTATTGTGGAGTTGTGCTGGTAAGAAGGGGCTGTGGTTTGAGGGGTGATGCTGGTGAGGTTTTGTGCAGTCTGAGGTTATAGTTTGATTTTAATGCTTTGGGGTCTTGGCTTTAATTCCTGCACACTTTTAGGGTCTTTCTGAGCGCAAGTAGCTCTGTTGTTAACTTGTGTAAGTGCTCAAGGCAGACCCTGCTGTTGGGTTCTCAGGAGTTCATTTTGTGCTGGGGGATGCTCTTTTGCTTTCTGGTTTGCTTGTGCCTCTTGCAGCCTTCTTTTAATGGCCTTATTAAGGAACGAACCACATTGTGTCTTGTGAATTTTAAGTTCATGTGTAACTTTCCTGCCTGCCTTGCTTCCTGCTCCCATCTGCTACTGGTACTCTGAACACTTCCTTGGCTGGAGCCTAACAAACTTGGCTTTGCTGTACAAGTCTGTAGTATAATGCAGTCCTCGTGGCACCGCAGCCACTGAAAGAGAGCAAGCAGCAGTGTTTGGTTTGATTGTTGAGTGGTCTCTTCCCTCTTCCTCAGACTCTTCATGTCTGAAGAAAGAAAGAGGGAAGGTCTCTCTGGTTTCCCCCTGCATGCGCAGTTCCACCTGTGTTTAGCTCCTGTCTGTGATCCCTGACAATGCTTTACAGCTACTCTGTGTGAGAACGGGACAGCTAATTGCCCCAGGTGGATACAGGCTAATAAATACCCATGTCTTGCAGGTGTGAAGCCAGTTCTTCACTAGGAAACAGAGCTCCCCACTCACGTCCAGGCAGTCTGTGACTCCTAGAAGCTTCTCCAGAAGAAAGTACTCAGCTGAGGTGCTCCTTTCATCTCCAGCAATGGGAGGGATCTTTGGCAAGAGCAAGAGGCCCTGTGTGTTTCCAAAAAGAGTCGTTTTTCATAAGGCCAAAGGAAAAAAGGCATCCGGGACCACCCGTGTGTTCTGTGATGCTTCAACATGGACTGGGGAGAACCATTTGCAGTCAGCACGTATAGGAAGGACTCCAAAAGTCCCTGAACTTCCTGCTCCAAAGTTGGTGTTGGATGCACCCGAGGCTGCAGCTTGGGCTGAACAGGAGACAGGAGAGCAAGCTGCACCTCTACCTGCACGACACAGCGAGGCCCTGCTCCCTGCGACTGCTGGAGGCACGCAGGATGCTGAGGTGTCCCAGGACCCTGAATCCAAGCCTAGCACGGAGGCGGTGCAGCACCAGGAGCACACTGAACCGACCAAGAGAGAAGCCCAGTCTGCTTGGGGAAGCTCAGAAGAGAGTAAGGCTGAAGCTGTTCTGCACTGCAGTAGCAGCTGTGCACCCGATGAGCAGCTTGGCTGTGGGGATCGTGCGGTGGCACCTCTTACACAGACCACGGTGAAAGCTGAAGTCCATGTGTCTGCAGGTGTCCAAGATGGACCAGGCAAGGTTCAGTCTGCTGCAGCTGAACCTGAGCCTGGGGAGGAACAAGAGCCTGGAGGAGTGTGTGCTCCAGAGGATGCTTGTGCTGGAAAGGAAGAGCTTGTGCAGAAGGCAGCTGACTCCCTGGCTGCTGTGTGTACCACAGAGGAGTCAGAGCTGCTTCTGGAGACTGCAGAGACGAGAGAGGGCCCCAGAAATGCGCAGAGACCTGCAGAAGAGCAGGCAGTAGAAGAAAAAGTATGTTGTGCTGCTAAAGCCCCACCTGATCTGCAGTGGGAACAGGATACAGAGGGTTCTGTTACCGAAGATGTGGTACAAAATGCTTTTGAACCCGAGCAAGCTGAAGAAATGGCTGAGGACTGTGATGATGGGCAGACACCAGAGGAGCTCCCATGCTGTCTAGCAGAAACCCAGGCTGCTCTGCAGGGTAAAATCACAGCGAGAAATGGGGGAAATCCAGAGGAGCCCTGAAAGAGCACATGAAGCTTGGTGTGGCAACCACTGAGCAGACCGAGGGCTTGTCTGCAGGCAAGTGATGGATCTGCTGCCTTGATCCTGCAAGGACTAACATGCAATGGGTATTTGTACTCTAGAAACCTCTACGGGCTCTAAAG